AGCTAGATCACCGTTTTTTAGCCTCTGGCTCACACATTTTTGTCTTGGCTCAGGAAGGACGGCTCCAGAGCAGCGTTCCCTCTAAGCTGAGTTAGTGTGAGCTAGATCACCGTTTTTTAGCCCCCGGCTCACACATTTTTGTCTTGGCTCAGGAAGGACGGCTGCAGAGCAGCATTTCCTCTAAGATGAGTTAGTGTGAGCCAGCTCACAGTTTTTTAGCCTCCGGCTCACACATTTTTGTCTTGGCTCAGGAAGGACGGCTCCAGAGCAGCATTTCCTCTAAGATGAGTTAGTGTGAGCCAGCTCACAGTTTTTTAGCCTCCGGCTCACACATTTTTGTCTTAGCTCAGGAAGGACGGCTCCAGAGCAGCGTTCCTCTAAGCTGAGTTAGTGTGAGCTAGATCACAGTTTTTTAGCCTCCGGTTCACACATTTTTCTCTTGGCTCAGGAAGGAGGGCTCCAGAGCAGCGTTCCCTCTAAGCTGAGTTAGTGTGAGCCATAGTTTTTTAGCCTCCAGCTCACACATTTTTGTCTTAGCTCAGGAAGGACGGCTCCAGAGCAGCATTTCCTCTAAGATGAATTAGTGTGAGCTAGCTCACAGTTTTTTTAGCCTCTGGCTCACACATTTTTCTCTTGGCTCAGGAAGGGCGGCTCCAGAGCAGCGTTCCCTCTAAGCTGAGTTAGTGTGAGCTGGCTCACAGTTTTTTAGTCTCCGGCTCACACATTTTTGCCTTAGCTCGGGAAGCATGGCTCCAGAGCAGACTAATTTATGCAGCAGTCAAATCGCTCACTCAGGACTTTAATGCCAGTAGCTCACAAAGTAGAATTCTTGCTCACAAGATCCCACAGTTTAGAGGGAACATGGATTACGACCAGGGGTCATTTCCTGCAGGAGCGCACAGGAGCGGAGCTCCAGCAGTAAAGATCCCAGGGGGCGGGCACATGCAACAAGCCCTGCCCCCTGCTCCCAGCAGCCCCAGGCCACAAGGAGCAAGAAGCAGCCAGGTAAGTTGCAGAGCCCCCCCCCCATAGATAGCAATCCAAAACAGTCTAGTGGCAGCTTTAAGACCAAGTTTTATTCAGGTACAAGCTCTCCCTCCTCTGTGAGGGCAGATCTGCGTGTGTGTCCCCCATAGCTAGCAATCCAAAACAGTCCAGTGGAGCCTGAGCAGTGGATGTTGCCTTCTGACACACTTCCGGTGACGTCAGGGGGTGTGGTATATGCAAATAAGTTATGCTAATGAGTTATGCTAATGAGCTCCTGCACTTCTTTTTCTACGAAATGACCCGATTACGACCAATCTCATTTTACCTCATTTTAAATACCCCTTGCTACTGAAGCTGTGATCATTCTTACTAACTAGCAGTGGGAGGGCTCCTAGTGTCCTGGCCCCACTGCTGAGCCTCCTGATGGCACCTGGTATTTTTGGCCACTGTGAGACACAGAGTGTTGGACTAGATGGGCTGTTGGCCCCATCCTACATTGGCTTCTCTTATGTTCTTACGTTCTTAACCAGGGATATTGCTAACCTTCCAACCCAAAAAGATATTTTAATTAGTTTTTTTTAAAAAGGAGCCCCAAAGAGGACAGACACCGAAAAAAGAGGGCACGTCGGCGACTGTTCAAAACTGTATTTGTATGCTCGCATATTGTCTTTGCACGGGACCATGGTACTCTGTTAATTCCACACTGTTTTTTTAAATTCTAAAACTGTTTGATGTTTGTATTTAGGTGAAGGTTTATGTTCTTCTTATGGGTTTTTTGTTTTGTTTAGTTAACACTGTATCTTGCATTGACAGGGTATAATATTATTGTATTTTTTGAAAACTTGAAATAAACACAAAGTTGTATTTTGTTGTTTTTTTTAAAAAAGAGGACGTCTGGTAACCCTGATACAAACCAGTCCATTTACAACATTTCCGTGCTAGAATAATATGTTGTTGTTGTTTTTGGTAATGAAGAAGAACAGATTGGATTCATACCCTGCCCTTCATTACCCGAAGGAGTCTCAGAGTGGCTTACAATCTCCTTTCCCTCCCCCTCCCCACGACAGACACCCTGGGAGGTAGGTGAGGCTGTGAGATCTCACTCGAGGACTGCCCTAGAGAGAGCAACTCTGAGAGAACTTGTGACTGACCCAGTCACACCAGCAGCTGCATGTGGAGGAGTGGGGGAATCAAACCCGGGTCTCTCAGATTAGAGTACGCGCTCCTAACCACTACACCAAACTGCTATGGGGCCTCTTAAACTGCAATAGGTTAGCCTCAGCATGCGGTTATCCCATCCAGAGAGATTAAAGGATGTTTGCCTTTTGACAGGGGGTTCCAGCGATGCCACCCAGTGACAGTTTGGCACAGTTCTGTAATCCAGCGCATGACTCGGATGGACCACCAATTCCTGCATATCAACAAGGAATTCTGGGCACGATCGGAGATGCCGGTGATTGCTGTGTAGGAGGGAAGGCCGATCCCCTGAACTTGGAAGAGGCAATAGGTGCAAACTGAGAGTCCTCTTTCATGGTCTGTGACTTGTCTGGGTATTCTGTGCAGCATGAGAATAGTGGTGCCCTCGGGGTATTGGGCAAACGCCTGACGTGGCCTCTCTCTGCCCTGCTAATTGGCTGGCATCCAGTGTACTTCGCGTTTGAAGTCCAGGGATGTGGCCATAATTCATGCCACCGGCGACAAAGGGACCAAGTGGGGGTTGCAAAAATCAGAAAATATATGCCGTTTAAATAAGTTAAAAGTGATATGCTTTTTTGACAAGGTTGGGATCAGTGTTCCCTCTAAGCTGAGTTAGTATGAGCCAGCTCACAGTTTTTTAGTCTCCGGCTCACAGATTTTTGTCTTAGCTCAGGAAGGATGGCTCCAGAGCACACTGATTTATGCAGCGGCCAAATCGCTCGCTCACAGCTTTAATGCCAGTAGCTCACAGAGTAGAATTTTTGCTCACAAGACTCCACAGCTTAGAGGGAACATTGGTTGGGATACAAAAATACACTCAGCTTCAAATAAACGGGAGTGGTTTTTAACGAAGCAAATGATGTTAACGACTGTGACTGGCTTTTCCTGGGGGCCCGGGGGGGGGGGGAATCCACCCGTAGGCCGTGGCGCTGAGCTTCCCGGCGGGAGAGATGCCGCCGGGGTCGGAGGTGGTCTGCAAAAGGGAGCTGAGCCAGGACCTCAGATAGGCAGGAGACGGGGTTAGCAGCACCCCTGGAGTCCCTCCGCCCCGTGCGCAGAATACTGCTCTTCCTCTTCTCTCTAGCCGTCCTTGGCGGTTTCGCTCCCTCGCACGTTGTTCCTCCCCGCAGGGCCGGCTCACTCAATAGGCGATCGCCTAGAGCGGGCTGGCCCTTAGGGGTGCCAAACTGCACCCGGCCCCATACTCTGGGAGTTTCTTGATTATTTGTGTTTTTCATTCTTCCTAAAATGCATTTTGGAGCTGCGGTGGCTCAAGTGGTGAAGACGCTGAACTGCAGGCTGTGGAAGGTCGGTAGTTCAGCAGTTCGAGACCCAGGTGCTGCTTAATGGAGTGAGCTCCCGTCTCTAGTTCCAGCTCCTGCCAACTTAGCAGTTCGAAAGCAAGAAATTGCAAGTAGATGAATAGGTACCACTTCGGTGGGAAGGTAACAGCGTTCCGTGCGCCTTGGTGTTGAGTCATGCCGGCCACATGACCACGGAAACGTCTTCGGACAGCGCTGGCTCTTCGGCTTTGAAACGGAGATGAGCACCGCAACCCTAGAGTCGGATTCGACTGGCTTTCGAGCAAGGGAACCTTTACCTTTTAAAATGCACGGGGGGCGCACGGGGGGCGCGCCAGAAGGGATCCTCGCCTAGGGTGCAAAATAAGCTGGGGCCGGTCCTGCCTCCCCGGTCCTTCCGAAATCCTCCTCTTTTATTTCCCCTCTCCATCCCTGGCACCGCCTCTCATCCCCGCCTCCCAACTTGGCCCCACCCTTGTTTATAATCACGGACACTCCCCGGGCGTCTGGGGTGTGGTTGCAGGTGAGCCGGCGGCAGTTTCAGCTTTCTTTCAGCGGGATTGGAGTCTCGGCTCCTGGGGTGGATTCGGCGTGGTGCTCGCGGCATTACGATCTGTGCTTGAGCCGCTGGGAGTCGAGCCGTTGGTCCCTGCTTCCTTCGGGGGCTGCAGATCCGCCCCTTCTCTGTTCCTTGACTGTTGTTGGGGTGCATGTGCGTCCCTGGGGTTGGGGAGTCACAAACCTAGTGGTGGAACATCTGCTTGGCATGCAGAAGGTCCCAGGTCCAATCCCCGGCATCTCCAGTTAAAAGGACCAGACAGGAGATGATGTGAAAGACCTCGGCCTGAGACCCTGGAGAGCTGTAGGGAGGGGCTGTGGCTCAGAAGTAGAGCCTCTGCTTGGCAGGCAGAAGGTCCCAGGTTCAATCCCCGGCACCTCCAGTTAAAAGAACCAGGCGGGAGGTGGTGGGAAAGACCTCCGCCTGAGACCCTGGAGAGCTGTAAAGAGGGGCTGTGGCTTAGTGGAAGAGCCTCTGCCTGGCATGCAGGAGGTCCCAGGTTCAATCCCCAGCATCTCCAGCTAAAAGGACCGAGCAGCAGGTGATGGGAAAGACCTCCGCCTGAGACCCTGGAGAGATGTAAAGAGGGGCGAGCCTCTGCCTGGCATGCAGTAGGTCTCAGGTTCAAACCCCAGCATCTCCAGCTAAAAGGACCGAGCAGCAGGTGATGGGAAAGACCTCCGCCTGAGACCCTGGAGAGATGTAAAGAGGGGCCGTGGCTCAGTGGAAGAGCCTCTGCCTGGCATGCAGAAGGTCCCAGGTTCAATCCATGGCATCTCCAGCTAAAAGGACCGAGCAGCAGGTGATGGGAAAGACCTCCGCCTGAGACCCTGGAGAGCGGCTGCCAGTCTGAGTAGAGAAATACTGACCTTGATGGGACCAATGGTCCAAATGAGAAGAAGGCAGCTCCATGTGTTTGAGAGCTGGGTCAGAAACAGGATAAACTCATAGGGAGAAATATATATATTAAAAAATGAAAATTATACAATGTCCTAAGTTACATTTCTCATGAAGTCTCCAGGGGCACTGCAACCCACCGGGAGTCTGTTCAGCAGTTGAACTACAGAGCAGATCTGCAAGCGGTAATTCCACGAGTCAGTGATGGCTGTCTCGGGATTGGTCCCATTTTACACCAGTCTGTCAGTTCTACGTCAGCGATTGGGTTCAATCCATTGGGAAGTTCTCCTGCAGAAGCGCGACTGAATAGGAGCTGCTCGGCTTCTAATAATTTCAACCGGACTGCGCGGGAGAACTTCCTGACGGAGCGGGCCCAGGCTCTACCTTAAAAGCCGGAACAGAATTTAGTCTGGAATATTTCGCAAGATCACCTTAAAAAAACAAAAAAACCCAGCTTGCTTTGCACAGAGGAGCACCCAAAGGTCTGAAGCAGCAGCACTGAGCACACGGGGCTCCGTGGATCTCTCTGGAACGGCAGCACATTCTTCCCGGAGCTCCTCTCCTGGCCTCAGTAGTAGAAACAGCCAAAGGCAGCTGCCACGCAGAAGAGGCTGTCCTGGGGAAACAAGAGGAAGGAGGATCAGGGAGAAACGAGGCCCAGAGGCAGAACAGAAAGAGACGCCAAGAGCTTTAGTTGTGGTAGATTTTCCGGGCTGTCTGGCCGTGGTCTTGGCATTGTAGGAACCTCACGTTTTGCCAGCAGCTGTGACTGGCATCCTCAGAGGTACAACACAGAAAGATGGAGTACTCTCTGTGTCGAGGTGAGAAGGAAAATGGGAGGCAGGAAATTTATATCGACTCAGGAAGGTGGGGTAGGGCTGAGTCATTATCTTGTAGGAGTTCCCCAGGCTGTGAACATGCTAATGGAGGAGCTTTCCTGAGGAGGTTCTTTTGCATGTGGATTGGCTGTTGAAATTCTAATCTTATCTGTAGCACTATTGTAAGATGTAGAGCCTTTTGTGTTTTTCAGGAGAGGAAAACCATGCCCTATTTATTTTTAAACTCTCTTCTTTCCCGTTGAAATTGTGTTTATGAATTTCAATGACTACCCTATGTAATCTGACATAGCAATTGGATGTGTTGTCCAGCCTTTGGTACAGTTGTCTGATTAAAGCTTTGCCATTAGCAGGTAAAGCTGCGGTGGCTCAAGTGGTTAAGACGCTGAACTGCAAGTTGTGAAAGGTCAGTAGTTCAGCAGTTCGAGACCCGAGTGTGCCGCATGACGGAGTGAGCTCCTGTCTCTAGTTCCAGCTCCTGCCAACCTAGCAGTTCGAAAGCAAGAAATTGCAAGTAGATAAATAGGTACCACTTCGGTGGGAAGGTAACAGCATTCTGTGCGCCTTGGTGTTTAGTCATGCCGGCCACATGACCACGGAAACATTTTCGGACAGCGCTGGCTCTTCGGCTTTGAAACGGAGATGAGCACCGCAACCCTAGAGTCGGATTCGACTGGCTTTCGAGCAAGGGAACCTTTATCTTTATTAGCAGGTAGTTGCCTCTCCCCCACACATCATCACATTAGACAGGTAACTGTGGATGTCCATGCCCCCCCCCCCCCCCCCCCCATAATGCTTTGGAGTCATCAAAGCATTCTGCAGCTGAGGAGGTTCTTTTGCATATGGGGAAGGCCTCGGCCTCTGTGCCCTGTTGTTGGCTCTCAAGAGGAACTGGTTGGCAACTGTGAGACAGGACGCTGGACTAGATGGACTCTCACTGGTCTGATCCAGCAGGGCTCTTTCTGCTCTTTTACTGATGTTACTCTAAGTATGACAGTACAATGTTGAATCCGACTCTAGGGGGCAGTGCTCATCTCCGTTTCCAAGCCGAAGAACCAGCACTGTCCCAGGACTTCCCCATGGTCATGTGGCTGGCATGACTAGCCGCTGAAGCGCATGGAACGCTGTCACCTTCCGACCGAAGTGGTACCTATTTATCTACTTGCAATTTCTTGCTTCCGAACTGCTAGGTTGGCAGGAGCTGGGGCCAGAGATGGGAGCTCACTCCGTCAAGCGGCACTCGGGTCTCGAACTGTCCGAACTATGGACCTTCTGGTCTGCAGCTCAGCGTCTTAACCTCTGAGGCACCGCGGCTACACGGTGGTGGTAAGTGCCATCAAATCACAGCTGAGTTAGGGTGACCCATTAGGGTTTTCAAGGTAAGAGACGAACAGTGGCGGTTTGCCACTGCCTGCCTCTGCGTAGCAACCATGGATTTTCTTGCTGGTCCACCCAAGCACTAACCAGGGCTGATCCTGCTTAGCTTCCACAATATGGCAAGATCAGGCCAGCTTGGGCTGTCCACATCAGAGGAAACCGCTATCAAGTCTTAGCTGACTTATGGCAACCCCGTAGTGTTTTCAGGGCTGACTTATGGCAACCCCGTAGTGTTTTCAGGGCAAGGGACATTCAGTGGTGGTTTGCCACCGCCTGCCTCCGCATAGGGACCCTGGACTTCCTTAGAATCGTAGAATGTTAGAGTTGGAAGGGTCCTTACAGGTCATCCAGTCCAACCCCCTGCACTCTGCAGGAGCACAGCCGGAAGAGAGCCCTACAACATACCCGAAAGGTGGTCGTCCAGCCTCCGCTTGAAAACGTCCAGCGAAGGAGCATCCACCACCTCGCGAGGCAGACTGTTCCACTGCTCAACCCCTCTTATAGTTAGGAAGTCTCTCCTGATATTTAGCCGGTAATTCCCTTGTAATTCCCACCCGTTAGATCTAGTCTTGCAATCCGGAGCAAGAGAGAATAGATCTGCTCCACCTTCTCCATGACAGCCCTTCAGATACTTGAAGACTGCAATCATGTCCCCTCTAAGTCTTCTCTTTCCCAGGCTAAACAGACCCAACTCTTTCAGCCTTTCCTCATAAGACTTGGATTCCAACCCTCTCGCCATCCTGGTTGCCCTTCTCTGGACACGGTCGAGCTTGTCAACATCCTCCCTAAAATGTGGTGCCCAAAACTGGACACAGGACTCCAGGCGGGGCCTGACCATAGCAGAATAGAGCGGAAAGACCACCTCCCGTGATCTGGACACGATGCTTCTGTGAATGCATCCCAAGATTGCATTCGCTTTCTTCACAGCCACATCGCGCTGCAGGCTCATGTTTAGCTCGTGATCAACCAGAACACCTAGATCCCTTTCACATGTGCTGCCGTCAAGCCAAGTCCCTCCCATTCTATATCTGTGCCTTTGATTTTTTGTACCTAAGTGTGGGACTTTGCACTTCTCTCTCTCTCTCTGTCAAGCGGTCTCCCACCCACATACCAACCTGGGCCGACCCTGCTTAGCTTCCGAGATGGGATGAGATCAGGGTATAGTCTGGGCCATCCAGTTCAAGACAGGAGATGAACAGAGGTGGTTTGCCATTGCCCGCCCCGGTGCAGCAACCCTGGGCTTCCTGAGTAGTCTCCCCATACTAACCCGGGCTGACTTAGTTTCCAAGAGCTGATGTGATCGGGCTGGCCGAGGCCAGTCCAGGTCGGGGCAGAAATTTCACTTACATTTATGAAAACGTCCTGAGCGTAGTTGTCTGTGTCTGCGTCCCAGAAACATCGGGCCGCCATGCTGAAGAAATAAACAGGGAACCGTTTGTGAAGGAGGCAAAAGTATCTGTTGGTGACAACCATCAACATTTGAATATTATTTCGTTTCCCAGGGGGCAATGAGTGAACGTTCCCCTCTTTCGGGTCTCCTGATCTGTGTGAAAATTGCTGGGGGGAAATCAGACTGCATGTCTGTCAAACTCGCTTTCCACTGTATTGCTCGCTTGCCATAGAAGTCGGGGGGGGGGGTGTCAAGAGAGTGTGAATTCTAAAGGCTTTTGCTTTCAAATGCTTTGAAGAAGAGATTGGAGTTATACCCCCACCCTTTACTCAAGAGTCTCAGAGTGGCTGACAAACTCTATTCCCTTCCCCTCCCCACAACAGACACCCTGTGAGGTAGGCGGGGCTGAGAGAGCTCTTTCGAGGACTGCTCTTTCAAGGACAGCACTTGTCAGAACTATGGCTTGCCCAAGGTCATCCAGCCAAGTGCAAGTGGAGGAGTGGGGAATCAAACCTGGTTCAAACCAGATTAGAGTCTGCGCACTTAACCACAATGCCAAACTGGCTTGAAGTAGATTGCTGCTTGCCTGGGAACATCCGCCGGCCTTGAGTCTCAGTTTACACCGTCTGGCTTTTGTCTACGTGTTGGGGGGGGGATGTCACCAAGGTGGCAACAGACAGTCGTTGGTTTGGGCGGGTGGAGTACCTGGGGGTGATTGGCTCGCAGCCTTTTAGTGTCCCTGTTTGAACCTTGTATAGCTATGGCTTTCACGCCTCCACTTTCAGTCCTAACACAGCCAGTGTACTGGCTGGATCCTATCACTGTCTCAATAAACTTATCCTTCCTTGAAGTGAATGGTGTTGAGAACTGATTTGTCCAAGAGTCTGACAATGTACGGAGAAAGAAAAATAAATAAATGAGGATGTATATAGCTACATTCCAGATGCTGCAAAAACATAATATTAGTTACACCAAATAACCTTTACTATCTAATCACCTTGGGTATTGCTCAGCCATGATGCAACTTGACAACAGATCACAAAATCGTTTTTAGAGGGGATGTTGTTGAATTTAGCTTAAGCTGCACAACAGATAAATGGAAGCTCAGATGCTTTCTTCACCATTAACTTTAATTAACTTTCTAAGGAGGAGATTTTCCAGGACTCTGCTGCAGAAAAGGAATTGAACTTACTTCACTCCCTCGCCTCTCTGCTCTCCAATCACCACCTGCACCACTATTTTGTATCGGTGAAATCCTTTTTCTGCAAACAGAGAGAAGGGAACCAAACAAATTAGAAAGGATGGAGAGATCTCCTCCCGCATGCTCATAGCAAATCTGGATGTTAGAATAGGAGGAAAAAGAACATCCATGGAGAGGGAGGGAGGGAGACAGAGAGAAGAAAGATGAAGGAGAGTTGGAAAAGATGAGACATTACCTTTCAAGGTATCTCGGATTTTCTCGGATAGCTGTTTGGTGATGGAAGGGATTTCGTCAGGGCTGTACTGCACACCGGCTAGCTCCTCCTTTAACACCACGTGGATGCACTCTTTCACAATAGAGGAGCGGAATCTAACAGGAGGGAAGACAGAACATCAGAAGAGCCCTGCTGGATCAGACCAGTGGCCCATCTAGTCCAGCATCCTGTCTAACACAGAGGCCAACCAGTTCCTCTGGAGGGCCAACAACAGGGCATAGAGGCCGAGGCCTTCATAAGAACATCACATGAGCCCTGCTGGATCAGGCCAGTGGTCCATCTAGTCCAGCATCATGTCTCACACAGTGGCCAACCGGTTCCTCTGGAGGGCCAACAACAGGGCACAGAGGCTAAGACCTTCCCCTGATGTTGCCTTCCATCACTGGGATTCAGAGGTTGACTGCCTCTCAACATGGAGGTTCCATTTAGTCACCATGGCTAGTGGCCACTGATAGACCTCTCCTCCACGAATTTATTTAATCCTCTCTGAAGGCTGTTTATTCCTGTGGCCATCACTACAGCCTCTGGCAGCAAATTTCACATTCTGAAACGCTTGCTGTGTAAGGAAGTCGTTCCTTTTGTCTATCCTGAATCTACTGCCCGTCAGCTTCACTGGATGCCCTTTAAAATGTTTGGATAGTGAGAAAAGTTCTCTTTGTCAGTTCTCTCCGACCCATGCATAATTTTATCAACCCCTATCATGTCCCCCCCTTAGTCTTGTTTTCTAAATTGAAAAGTTCCAGACTCTCTAGCCAGTTTGGTGTAGAGAAGAAGAAGATTGGATTTATACCCCGCCCTTCACTACCCAGGAGTCTCAGAGTGGCTCACAAACTCCTTTCCCTTCCCCGCCCCACAACAGACACCCTGTGAGGTCGGCGGCGCTGAGAGAGCTCTGGCAGAAACGGCTCTTTTTCAAGGACATCTCTTGTCTGAACTATGGCTTGCCCAAGGTCATCCAGCAGCTGCGAGTGGAGGAGTTGGGAATCAAACCCTGTTCTCCCAGATTAGAGTCCGCGCACTTAACCACTGCACCAAACTGGATCTCCTTGTGACGATGTAGTGGTTAAGTGCGTGGAGTCTAATCCGGGAGAACCGGGTTTGATTCCCCACGCCTCCATTTGCAGCTGCTGGATGACCTTGGGCAAGCCGTAGTTCTGATAAGAGCTGTTCTTGAAAAAGAGCCGTTTCTGCCAGAGCTCTCTCAGCCCCACCTACCTCACAGGGTGCCTGTTGTGGGGAGGGGAAGGGAAAAAGGAGATTTTAAACTACTCTGAGTGAAGGGCGGGGTATAAATCCAATCTCCTCCTCCTTCTCTCCTCCTAGGGAAGATCCTCCAACACCCCCCCTCACATCATCTCTGTCGCCCTCCTGTGTGCTCTTCCCAGCTCTGCACTGTCCTTTTTGAGATACGGGGACCAGAACTGTACACAGGATTCTAAATAAGGCTACACCATAGATCTATCCAGGGGCATTACAATATCAGCCATTTTATTCTCAGTCACTTTCCTAACAAAGAGTCTGTAATTGTCACTGTATCTCTTGTATCACAGGACTTGCATTTCAGGGGGTATCATGGGCTATAGTAGTAGGAGGAGGCAAAAAACCCCACACTCCACTGATGGGGCTTAGATTTGAGTCCGTGAGCACCGTAGAGACCAAAAGGATTTTTGGGACATAGGCTTCCGAGAGTCAGAGCTCCCTCTGCCAGATTTCTAAGGTGCAACTGGACTCCAACCAAGCTCTTCAACTGCAGACCAAAATGGCTGCCCTCTGAAAACAACTCCTCTGGTGGAAATCCGTCAGCCGTGGAAACATTCTGCTGGATCCGAGCTAGAGATGTAAGATTTCCGAAAATTTTGAAGCTCGGGAAAAAAACAGAATTTTTCGGAAAAATTGGAAAAAAAATGCTACCTGAGCATTTTTCCTTTCCAGATTGAAAGTCATTCTGTTACTTTAGGAACATAAAATATGACTATGGACATTTTTAACTAGCATATTAAAAACATAGTGTATCCAAACAATTATTACAAATAGAATACCCACCCACATGCAAAAACAAAACCGAAACCTTTTTCTTTTCTTGTGACAACAGCACCTCCTAAAGGAAGAAATACATCTTGTTCTTGCATTGGAGAGTTCCGTTTGTAACCTAGGACTTGCTTGTCCTCAGTGCACAGCGATTAGATCAATCTGATACCATACGTATTTTTTAGAAATGATTTGGAAAATATTTGAACATCTTATCTTAAAATATTTTATTCATCATGTTAAAATAAAATGTCCCATAATCAATTTTTTTCAAACTTTCCGGAAATTTCACATCTCTAGTTCCACCACCATCAAATCTTCCAACCCAAACTTGGCAACGGCCCCCTGAGCCTCCCCCCCCCCCCCCTTTTCCCCCTTCTTTCCCCAAGATTGGGGGGGGGGGGAGGTTTGTAGGAACGGGGCTGGCCAACCTTGCAGGGCTGCAAAGCATCTTGAACCCCAGAAGTCTCATTTATTAAAACTCGCAACCAAATTAAGCGCGCGCACACACACCCCTGCCCCAAATTTTACAATTAAGATGAAATAAACCCGGGAAGGTGGGGGTGGAAGTGTCACCAACCAGCCCTGCCCCTCGACTGACTTGTGGTGGAAGGCCGGCCGCAGGCAATAGGCGCGGTTGGAGGGGCTCCCCGGGGACTTCAGGGCCGAGGTCAACGCCGGCTCCCCCATGGCCGAGGCCTCCGCCGCGCCCCCACGCCCGCCTCTGTCGCCATGGCAACCACCTAGGCCGCGGCGCCTACTACTGGCGTCGTGGGACCATAGATTTAAATGAAGGGTAGAGCGGCCGGACAAGCGGACCGCACTTCCGGTTAAAAGCCATAGAGACGGTACCAGGCCTACCTTATACGGGGGAGGTAGAAAAAAAGGCTAGAGGGGCTTTTCGACTCTTCCGGCCTTCCGCTCGAGCGCCCAGCACGCACGACGCAGAGCCCTGTCACCGTAGAGGTGGAGAGCCTAGAGCGACACCGCCCTACTTCTGTAGAGGCCAATGAGGCACTTTCCCTTCAGATCGAATGTTCATGCTTCCTTGCTGCTCTAGCCGTTTACCTCTATGGTTAAGGCTGGGAGGAGGGCTGACTCCAGAAGGTCTCCCAATTGAATTCTGGTGTGATCTTCCAGTATTGGGGCGGGGTGAGGTGGGCGGGTACCAGCGCAGGTAGCTGTTCAATCTGATTTTAAAAAATGAATTTTTTGCATTGCCCTGTGTTTGTTGTTTTTAATGCCGGAAACGGCCTCTGAATTTTGCAGATCAAAGGGCAGTATGCAAATAGATTAAATGACACTCATGGGTAGCATTTTTAAAATGACCTGTTGCCACTTGGATTGTGTTTAGGGCTTCGGGCTGCCAACCTCCAGGCTGGGGGCTGGAGATTTCCTGGGATTACCAGAAAAGAAATCAGCCTCCCCTTGAGAAAAATTGCTACTTTGGAGGATGAATTTTATGGCATTCTACCCTGCTGAGGTCCCTCCCCTTCCCAAACCCTGCTCTCCTCAGGTAAAGGTTTCCCTTGCTTGGAATCCAGTCGAATCCAACTCTAGGCTTGCGGTGCTCATCTCCGTTTCAAAGCCGAAGAGCCAGCGCTGTCTGAAGACGTTTCCGTGGTCATGTGGCCGGCATGAGTAAACACCAAGGCGCATGGAACGCTGTTCCCTTCCCACCGAAGTGGTACCTATTTATCTACTTGCAATTTCTTGCTTTCGAACTGCTAGGTTGGCAGAAGCTGGAACTAGAGACAGGAGCTCAGTCCGTCATGCGGCACACTTGGGTCTCGAACTGCTGAACTACCGACCTTCCACAGCCTGCAGCTCAGCGTCTTAACCTCAGGCTCCACCCCTAAATCTCCAGGTATTTCCCAAGCATGAGTTGGCAACCTGTATTATAAAAATATTGCTTCTGATGTTTTAGGACTCTCTTTTTATCCTGAATGAGCTCAGGGCAGTGCAGTTTGGTGTAGTGGTTAAGTGCGTGGACTCTAATCTGGGAGACCCGGGTTTGATTCCCCACTTCTCTACTTGCACCTGGCTGGATGACCTTGGGCAAGCCGTAGCTATGATAAGAGCTGTCCTTGAAAAAAGAGCAGTTTCTGTCAAGAGCTCTCTCAGCCCCACGTCTACCTCACAGGGTGTCTGTTGTGGGGAGGGAAAGGGAAAGGAGTTTGTAAGCCGCTCTGAGACTCCTTCGGGTAGTAAAGCGCAGGGTATAAATCCAATCTCTTCTTCATCATCATCTTGTACCTGAGACCCTGGACAGCTGCTGCCAGTCTGAGTAGACAACACTGATTTGGATGGATCAAGGTTCTGATATGATATGGCAGCTCCCTCTATGGCATGCAGGAGGTTCTAGGTTCAGTCCCCGGCATTTCCAGTTTGAAGGGACCGGGCAGTAGATGATGCAAAAGACTTCTGCCGGAGACCCTGGAGAGCTGCTGCCAGTCTGAGTAGACAACACTATCCTTGATGGACCGATGGTCTGATTCAGTAGAAGGCAGCTTCCTGTGTTCATGTGACCCAAACCTCGACTCTGACAGAGATGAAACATGAGCCCTGCTTTCCGTCGCTGTTTCCTGTGGACAGCTGCCAGTTTTACACCACTCACTAGGAACTGAAACAGGAACACCAAAATGACCAGGAAGCTGCAGCTCAACAGAAAAAGCCTGGGCTGTTTTTTTAGAACTCCGTGCTGTGGGGCTCCAGTCTTTTTTTGATCTCTATGGCATTCGAGAGCAGAAGAAGCCGACTGTGAACAATGAGAGAAAAGAAGGCCACAGAGATTGGGACAGGATTTTTGTTGTCGTTGTTCAGTCGCACAGTCGAGTCCAGGCCTTCCAGTCTTCCGTCGTGCTCCGGAGTTTGCTTAATTTTATGTTCGTTGCATCTGTGACACTGTCTAACCATCTCATCCTTTGCCCTCCCCTTCTTCTTTGACCTTCAGTCTTTCCCAGCATTGGGGTCTTCTTCAGTGAGCGCTCCTTTCTCATTGGGTGGCCAAAGTCTTTGAGCTTCAGCTTCAGTATCTGGCCTTCCAGGGAACAGTCAGGGTTGATCTCCTTTAAGATTGACTGATTGGATCTCCTTGCAGTCCAAGGAGGGACTCTCCAGAGTCTTCTCCAGCACCATAATTCAAAAGCATCTATTCTTCAGCGCTCGGCTTTCTTTATGGTCCAACTCTTTAGCCTTTCGTTACTGTCCATGGGATTTTCTTGGCAAAGATACCGGAGTGGGTTGCTGTTGAATACTGGGTTCTAGACGCATTGTGGTGATCAGCTCAGGTTTAGTAAGTGATTTCAGAAAACTAGCAGACAAGCTAGCAGGGCTGGAGCCCTGCTTATAAGCGTGCAAAACACCACACCCAACACACACCCACTCCCAGTGACAGGCCATTTACATTACACCGCTTATCTATTGGTTAGTTCCTGGATCCAGGTGAGCTATTGTTCTAGAGAAGCACACTCAGCCCGTTCTGGTACAGCTAGAGGAAAGGCTTGGGCTCAATACATAACATCCTATAAAAATGGGAACTATAAAAATGGGAACTGGAACATTCAGAGATTTCAAAATATTGTGTACAGTATAACAGCAAATGACAGGGATACAAGATCCCGCTATTGTTTCCTATAATCGAAAAAGAACATATACTCCACAATAAATCTGGCTCAGCCTGCTGACAATTCAAAAGTGGGATGTTCTCGTTCCCATTTTTATAGAATGTCTCAGCTATCGTATAGTCAGATTTTGCTTGACGGCATCCTATTTGTGCATTTGGCAACTGTGGTTTTGTAAACTCTGTGAGTTCATTTGCACAGTTTTTTGTATTTGACTGTTCTACTATTTTCAGTGGAGTTACTATTTGTGACTTTTCATTGGTGGAACATTTACTACATAATGCTTTTTCTAATAGTGGGGAGCTTTTGAGGTGCAACTGACCTGGCGTATGGCAACCCTGTACTGACCTTGGACATGCGGGGTGGTTAGGCAAGGGAGCTGGCTGAGATCCTGTGAACATACGAAATTGCCTTACCCTGAGTGAGAGGATTGGTCCCTTTGGCTGACTATCGTCTCTTTCACTTGGCACTGGCTGCCAGAGACGCTTTCATGCCGGAGCTTGAAATCTTGGAGCCTATCGCCTCTAGCATGTGTGCGTTAAGGTCCGTCAAGTTGCTTCTGACTCACGGTAACCCTGTGAATTAATGTCCTACAGAATGTTCTCTCATTAACAGCCTTGCCCAGGTCTTGCAAACGGAAGGCCGTGGCTTCCTTGATTGAACCAATCATAGAAACAGAGCAGAACATGAGAAGAGACCAAATGTCCACCTAGTCCAGCATCCTGTTTCACACAGTGGCCCACCAGTTCTGAAGGTCCAACAACAAGGCATAGGGGCCCAGGCCTTCATAAGAAGAAGCCTGCTGGATCAGAAAAGTGGTCCATCTAGCCCAGCATCCTGTCTCACACAGTGACAAACCAGTTCCTCTTCATAAGAACATCAGAAGAGCCCTGCTGGATCAGACCAGGGGTCCATCTATTCCAGCATCCTGTCTCACACAGTGGCCAACCGGTTCCTCTGGAGAGCCAACAACAGGGCAGAGAGGCTGAGGCCTCTTCCCCTGATGTTACCTCTTGGCACTGGGACTCAGGTTTCCTGCCTCTGAAAGTGGAGGTTCCTTTATCCAGTATCCCCTCCTGAAAATACATGAAGGTATGGCTATGTTGTTTATGTACTATATTTTTATTTCCCCTCTCCTCCAAGAAGTTCAGGCCAAGTTGCCCCATGTACAGTAGACCCATCCTGTACGGCCCTTGATGGACTATGGGTCTGATCCCGTATAAGGCCGCCTCATCTCTTCAAAGGAGGCAAATTAAAGTTTTCATAGAAATCATAGAGTTGGAAGGGAAATCATAGAGTTGGAAGGGGGCCACACAGACCCTCTAGTCCAGGGACTGAACCTGGGACCAAGGCAGGGCCAGCCTAAAGCATTTCTGACAAATATCCGTCCAGCTTCCTCTTGAAAGCTGCCAGTGAAGGGGAGCTCACCACCTCCTGAGGCGGCTGATTCCACCTTTGAGCCACTCTGACCGTGAACAAGTTTTTCCTAATATCCAGCCGATATACCCGTTGCTTCGGGTCCTCTCCTCTGTCGCCAACTGGAACAGCTCCTTGCCCTCCTCCAAATGACAGCCTTTCAAGTATTTAAAGAGAGCCGTCATGTCCCCCCTCAGTCTCCTCTTCTCCCAACTACACATTCCCAGGGCCCTCAGCCTTTCCTCGTAGGGCTCGGCCTCCAGACCCCTGATCATCCTCGTCGCTCCCTTCTGCGCCCTCTTCTGCCCACATCCCTTTTGAAGGGAGGTCTCCAGAACTGCACACGGTACTCCAGGTGCGGCCTGACCAAGGCAGTCTACAGAGGGGCTATGATGACCTCCTGCGATTTCGATGCCGTGGCCCTTTTCATACAACCCAAGACTGAATTTGGGACGAAGTCTTTTGCTAGACAATGCTGGAGATCCAGGCCACAAACACCGCCTTGCCAAATCACACGAAGCCTTCTACTGAGTCAGACCATCCGTCCCATCGAGGTCAGTCGGTATTGTCTACTCAGACTGGCAGCAGTTCTGCAGGATCTGGGGCCGAGATCTTTCCCATCACCTCCTGCCTTGTCCTTTTAAATGGAGAAGCCGGGGATTGAACCTGGGACCTTCTGCATGCCAGGCAGGGGCTCTCCCACTG